GATGATGAAGAGGAAGAGTAGGAGGAAAGAGACGTCGGATGGAAGATAGAGATGGGAGAAGAAGAAGAAGGAACAGGACCGGACTAGGAGTATGGACTAGGGAAGACGAGGCGATAGGGATGGGGAGAGGATGGATAAGGAGATTGCGGGTACTGTATGACTGAAACTATTATAGACCAGCGATGAGCAATAATGTCAGGTTGTTGGGCCGGGTATGGTTATGTAATAATAAGGGAGGAGGGGTGGGAAGCAGCAGGCAAATACTTCCGTTACCTAAGGCAAAGACCGGCACCCCGGAACCTTTGGGGAGCAGGAAGTAAGGTAACAGGCCAGTACAGAAAGCGGCCGAACGAGCGCGAAACGTCCTGTGACTGGACGACATCGAGGTGGATCCATTAGTGGATTCCGTCTGAGCCAATCTGCTGTCATACTCTTCATACCAATACGTCGCCCTCGTGGTAACTGGTAAGGTAGGTAAAGTATCTTTAAATAACGAGGTAACAACAATACGCGCGAAGGGGTGATCTCCGGTCGGCCCACCCTTCCTGATTGCTGGCAGATGGGCGCAGGTCGAGCCTGTTTTCGGAAATGGGCCCACACCCCCCTGAATGATTCATCCTATGGACAGGTAACTACAGCAAGTTCCCATCCTCGTCATCGTCACTATCATCTCCATTATTATCTTGGAGATCCTCATTATTAGGACAATGGAAACAAAAATGCAAATCACTAGCTCCAATATTGAGTCTTAAAGTAGTCGTTGAGAAAGGATAATGGATTGTTGGTCCCCTTTGGCCACATGACGATGTATCAGTCCGTAGCGTTCCAGTAATTAAAATCATTAATCACCCAGGTACTCGAAAGGAATTAGAATCCTCCAGGCATTCCTTAGCACTGTCGATTGATTCAACGAGTCTTCTGTAGCCTGCCTATGCATAAATTCGAATCAGGGTCATTAGGCTGCGACTTTCATGATCAGTTTGATATGCTTATGAATCTGCTACGTTTGTCCCAGACTCCCAGGACCAGGTGTACATTTGCTACTTGGATCAGCGCTTATGCATTGGAGATAACAGAGTTGCTTGTTAGACCTACTGTGGAGCAGCTAAAGAAGCATAAGGTAGTTACCTATTATTCTGACTTGATTCTTTGTTAACTGAGTTTCGCAGCCGTGGTAGGCTGGACAGCAAATCAGATATGCCTGGAAATACTCCGTCCATCGTATATATTAGGTACCAAGTAATCAAAGGGGACAACGATGCTAACTAAGTTCCTGCAGGTCCAAAGACTAAACAAGGTCTTAAGAGGACCTTTCATTAGAATGATAGAAAATAACTACCTTGGAAGCATGAATAGTTGGTATCTCACAGACACCATAATGTATAACCACTTGGCATTTCTATCTTCATTTGCAATTGCACCATAGCTTCCATCTTGAGCAATGGCTTTTGCCATCAAGGGCTGCTGAGTATGGATAAACAATGATGTGGGAGTCGATACTGGGCGAGACCCTCGGTGGTGAACCAGTCAACCGGATGAAGGAAGGCGATGATGCATCACGGGCACCCCCCAGTAAATCCCCTCACCGATGGCGGAGCAACGGTGGCGGTAAGGCTACTCCATTTTCGGCTACATGCACTGCCGCTACTGCAATCTGAACCAATAAGGAGCCGCCGAATCGATACTAAATTCAGGCTGCATAGCGCCACACCAAATCGGACAGCGCAGTGACCAATGATCACTTGGCTCGAGTGTCTGAGACCTGAGGAGGCCTGGGGGAGTCAAGGATAAGGTAATTATCATAACTCTCTCATAGAGCCAAAAGCTTTCAAAGCATGGGAAACGTCATTACAGGAACAGATGTCAGCATTTAGCATCATATTATTAAGGATATTTTCATTGATATCCCTGTCGTACCTGTCTAGATTATATCATCATTAATTAAAGCGAAACGAGCGAAGATCTATGGGTTGGCCAGTATTTACTATGTAGGGACATGTACCTGGATCATAACAATAAGATTTGCCTGTGAACGGCCCCGGCTCAGATGGTCCCAGCACTGCTTATACAAAGCAATACCCCCTGTGTCGCACAACTAATACCTGATCTGCGCAATCAACGTTGAACAGCCTTTGGCGCGCGGGATTCTCAAACACAAGTCATGCAATCATGGAATTGTATCAATTTGCGGGGTTTTCAAAAAGCAATTACACCCGAGAAACCAATGTATCAGATTTCAACAGCAGCGGGCGGGACACTTGACACATTCAGCAAAGAGGGAAGAATAACAATGCATGGTCGGTCAATCGCAATATTCAACTGGCTACCGCTCTTGTCACTGTGAAGACAACAATCTCAACTCGTCGTCAAGGAAAAGGACCAAAGAAAAACGGCTTGACAGTGGCTGGCATGCATGCTGGATGCACATGCCTGGCAACAGCTGGCAGAGGAATGGACGGACTGACTTTCCATCAAAGTACGCAATCTCGGCGGTGAGAGAGCGGGAGAAGGGCAAAAGGCCCTTGAGCTGCAGCCTACGTTAGCCCAAGCTTGACCGCTTCATTTATGTATGCATGTGTCTCTACGCAGTAAAGTGTAGACTTTTTTGACCTTGCAGTTGGCGTTGCGTGTTTCTGGATGATGCACCTCCTGTTGTTGCCCTGAGACCGGCTCACAAGGTACAGTGTACAGCACAGCAGACTGGACAAATGGCCGAGGGTGCATACGAATCATGGAGAGCATGACATATACCTCCTGATAAGCAGGTACACAGTACTTTCTGAGTTGTTGAGGAGACTTGTCTAGTCCAACTTGGTAGCTACTTCAGATTGCTTCCCCGATCACCACGGTTCCAATCGCGGACATTATCTTTGATCAACCGCCCTAGCTGGCATCACGCGATAAGCTCCCTCCGGATCAACCATACAAACACACCACACCATCTTCTCGTGGTCTGTTTCCCCTGCCACTACAAATAGAGCTCTCTTATCTGTTGGCTGACGGCACTCTTATGATTCTATGACTTTCCATCACTTTCTATGCTTCCCTACGTATCTGGCAACCTTCTCAAGTCATTTATTCAATCCCAATTGGGCAATATGAGCTTGATGCTTGCCTCTAGTTGATTGTTGAGTGTGGGCATCAAAGTCGTTCATTGGAGGTTCCTTCTAGCGAGGTGTTTTGATACTCTGGTCACTTCGCCCCCAAGGACATGCCTCTTTGCTAGGGTTTTCCGAGATGCCCGCACTCCTCCCTCGTCTATGCTTGTGGTTATGATACTGGACTGTTCCTCAAACATTGGCCGGGGGTTGACAAGCATGCCACTCCCCCTTCGCCATAGTCGGCATCTGGTAGTTTCAGTTGCCGTCGATTGACCTAGGCGCCTGTGTTTGGGAAGTGATTCAACTCGCAAAGTAAACGCCCGTCGAAACCAACCAGAGGAGTAATCCGGCCTACCGTCGATGTCTACCCTGCTTTTTCGGTCGAGCACATCTTCTGGCCTACTCAGCTCCTCGTATTGACCGTTAGTTTGGCAGATTGTGCATAATGGCTGGAATGATGGACGCTTATTCACCACAGCAGCTGCCATTGCATTTAGATACGTATATTTACGAGCGCTAATCCATTCCATTATGTCCATTGGCAGCGCGGCTGGGCGCTGACCAAGAATAACCCCGGATGGACTCAATTCAGTACCCCTCCGTGGGCTGTAGGGGCTGTATGCTAGGGCTGTATGCTATCTAATTACATAGTTTTTCTTTTGTATGGCGGCGTACATAGGCTTCCTAGTCGATTCAGGATAATTGTAAACACTTACGGGCAAGTATGGTTGGCTGGTCTGGTGGGACAGAACATTCCCCCAATGCATGGATCTACCCTACATAGTTACCTTGTGCATGTATTCCTTTACCGAATGCCTTGAACGAAATTGAGGATAACAGCTGGGTCGGAGTCGGAGAATACAGAGATGACACCGTTTCCTTTCTCCAGATCGGCCATATCTCTGCTGAATGTGCAAAACAATAATATATAAAATCAAACTGACTATCTTCGGGTCGCGTGTCTACCTTCCCCTACCAGAATAAGAACAAGAGCCCATAGTGGCGGGCATGATTGTCATTGCCCTGTGCACCATGTCCATAACGCAAGAGGAAGGCAACACAGGAATTCCCCCCTCCTGACGGTTACGAAAGAAAGTCGCATGATCAAGCACTCCCTCCCATGTGGCGGAAGACGATCTAACAATAATGATAATACCAGCCTTCTTTTCTGCACTAGCAGCCCCAAAAATGAGAGCGATCCAGCAGCACCCTGCCGTTGCAAATACTACTAGTCTGTTGATTACCCCGCACGATCTTCGAGTTGCCCCAGTCGATATGGGAATTCCTCGGTCCTATCGTCGCATTGGGTAACGTCGAATTGGGGTTAACTTCTCAATGATGTGTGATTTGTCCAAAGAGGTCCAAACTTCCTGTAGGTAACTTAACTGTGCTTACTTTTCGTACTCCGTACACAGTCCCATCTTTGAAATCTCTCTGTCTCTGTATGGGGTAATACGTAAATCGGACATACATCACCTGCAATCTTCCAAAGTTAATTAGGATCATTGCCAGAAGTTGTGCAGACGACGGAGTATCTGGTGTCTATCTACTCCCTAGTGGATCCCATTCCCCAAGCTCTGGGGAACTTTGCTGGATCTTGGCACCGTCCTCCGACTTTCGAATCTCCGTAGACTGTGGACCGGACAGAACTCGTGGATCGAGCTGAGGCCTGCTGTAAGAGGAAACCTCTCTTCATCAGATGCTGTTTCGCCAATTCTGCCACGGTGCCACTGGGTTTCCTGAGCGCTGGAGGATATGTGGTAAGTATGGCTAGCTCAGTGGCTGTGTTTCCTCGGTTTCAAGGGTCCGGGGTTCCCTCTATTGCTCTTTACCTTGAGCAGTTTCTGAGATTGGAAGACAACCTACCATTGATCAATTCAAGTGGATGGTAAGCATGATCTATTCTGAGGCATTTCTCGCAGCCCAGCGCGTTTGCTTTTCAAAATGCAATCGCTCATCTCCTGTTAGATCCCGTAATCCAAGCTCTCTAAGTTCAGCGAAGGTTTCAAGTGCACGTTCGTAATCCTCATTCGAAGTCCAACCATCGCGCTCCACAAACCCTCGCAGTGCGTCCCAGAAGTCCGCTTGCTCATTCCAACCTTCGCCCTCTCGATAGTGTATTTTCAGTTCCTCGTCTGTGAAGTTGATCGGACAAGCAACCTCATTGTTCATCTCATCCCAATGGCTGTGGTTCGTATATTAGTTGGTCACATTGAATCTAAAGTATAGCTAGGGAGAACATACCGCGCAACACGGATGAGGCACTGCCTGAAGGGTATGATATCGTCATCCCATGTGTTTGTAGAAAATACTACTGTCTCTTTCCTTGTACGCCCGTGAGGCAAGTCAAAGATCTCGTGGAGGACTGAATTTGTCCTCTTTGTGTTGGATTCATATGCCCAGAGTACAATAGATTTTTCCACTTGAGCTCGAATCCGAGCTCTCTCGTCTTCATCCTCAATATCCTTGTAGTACTCTGGCAATTCCAGCATGATATCTCCATTGTAGGCTACTAATTTCGGACGTCGAGCTTGGAGGAAGAGAGGGCCAGCCCAGTTATCCTGCCAGTCTATAAGTCCAGTAACCTTGTTCCCCTCAACAAACAAGTTCGGAGCATGGATATCCCAGTGCCAAATAGTAGACCTGTTCAGCTCTTTATTATTCGGCAAAAGATAGTCGGAAACATCCAGGAACTTGTTGTAAAGCTCGATATGGGCATCAGCGGAGTTTTGCGAGTAGCACTCTGCTACCATAAACATGTCATATCGTGGCTTTGGGGTCATTGCAGTCGCATAACGACTAATCCAAGCAATCTCTCGCCGAGCTATTGCCTTGAGATAATCTTCGGGGCACTTCCCTGGAACAGGTTTTAGCAAAGGTAACATTACTGGGGGGAATATTTAGTAGCTCACAAGGGCCGCGATCAATTTCCAAAGATGCCCGTCCTTTGTCCCAGAAGTCGTTATTGGGCACTGGTCCTATCACAAACTGGCTCTCGATTTCCTCCCTCTGTGACTGTGGTGCATCACTCGCAATTTCAGCCTTTTCGCAACCCGGAAACGCATCGTTTACGAAGTAGAGGCTTCCATAACTAAGCTTCCCCATCAGACTTAGATGGCCATCATCTGAAATAGTCTTGACATACCGTGTAAACGATAGAGATAGGAACTTCTTTTCAATAGCAACGATGTCCTCCACAATCTTCAACTTATCAGCAAGCTTCAGATCATCCCAAATCTCGCCAAGTTGCCTCCCAGTCGCTTCCTCCATAAGAATATATTCCGATCCCACAGGGTTCTCTGCTTTTCCACTCCAAGCTAAGACTTCTGGGACAGGAATCCCAAGGATAGTCCGAGCCTGCGAAGGGTCATAGGTGAGATTCTGTGCCTCATACTCCGGGGAAGGCAACTTACAAAGTCCATGGTCGCAACTTCCGACGCAGTGGTCTTGCAGGAACGTCCTACGTTAGGATATGGTATACGTGCAATCACTGTTGAATTATTATCCATCACAAGTCGGAAGACCTTGTTGAATCCGCCCTCTGCGATTTTCGTCATAGATACGCAGGCCTTCGCACCGACGCTTCTGGTAGCAGCAGCCTTGAGTTCGGACACATTAAACCGTTTGTATCGATTGCGGAGCTGGATATCCTCGTCCCACAGCCATCTTCCGCTCGAGTAACGGAAAAATTCTTCGTATTGTAAATCTGAATGTTCGGATATGGTCTGAACGGGACTGAAGGGAGGACTAGAGGGTGAGTGAGCGAGACGACAAGTGATGAGTAGTGGTGTCCGGTTAAAATGACCAGCTACGCGAAGGATTGGGGTCAAAGTGACAAAATTAGACATGTTTTGCTTGGATGATGTCTACTATTTCCCGTAAACAGGTTCTGATGTAGCTAATGGCATGTTGAGACGGTGAGCGCCTGATCTAGCCTCCCGGACCCCGTGAGTCCAGAAAGGTAACGTCTTCCTATTGCTTTCTATCTCACCTTCTTCCTAGTTCCGAACCCTCCCAAATTCACCTATAAAGAGTCCGAATCCTCGCACACAACTATAAGCAATATTTATTGTAGAATTGCTATTAAGAATTGATGTACCTTGATGGTGTGAGGTTACAACAGTTCACAAGAACCAGAGCTGACGGCCCCTTCTCGGAGGTAGAGCGGCGTAGTTCGGATGATTGGGACTTACTCCTGAATTGCTCCTGAAATGCGACTAGAAAGGCCAATCTGGAGAGCTGCTTATGCGCTGACGACATTGATAATCATCATGCATCATAAAGAAGAATAGATCGTGCATTTCTTCTTCTGGATTAAGTGGTCTCCCTATCTTTGCTTTTATTGATTATTATTGTCATGTCCGCATTTGCATTGGAGCCCTTTTCAGTGCTGACTGTATTTCATTGGATTGATCTACAAGGCACATCCAAGCTGCATCACGAATACTCCCCTTTCTGTAGGGAGTACAATCACCAGGGAGCCACCCTACATGAGACTTATCCCACTGATACTCCCAAGTTGATCGATCCTTGATCCTCGTCTGACGAGTCCAGTACTACTCTCCTGCTCTTCCTGAAAGGAATGATGGCATAATCTGGTGTTACATTCCACCCAGTGACAGGCAATAAATACCGACATGAGTTGGTCTCCATAGCTCTCTTCGTGACAGACTGAGACCCTACACAGTACTGGCCAGGAACTTCCGTGGCTGTTACACAATAAGCAGCGTATTTGCCGTCAGCAAACGGTTCTGGAGTCAGCTTCAAGAAGAACCTCTCGCACAGGCACGCAGGAATATGCATATGTCACTCCCGTCACGATCCATACCAGCAACTGCCAGTGTCTCCTCAGCAGCATTCCACCTGATTTCATCTTCGTTTGACAATGTCTCATTTTGGCTCGGGTATGTAATCAATCTGGTATCTACGTAAGTATTGTCTCATTGGAAGGGGAGAGTCTTTGTTGATTGAAACGATTTGAAACATGGCAAATATTCACATGTCACTCATCATGGAAGTTCTCGCCTGCTTTCCAGCGAGCTCGTTGACCTGGTGATGAATCTTCGGCCATGATGTCTCAGATATAGATACTAAAGACCTTCCAAGAAGCTGAGATACTCTTCTGATATCAGTAGTTCAGAGATGTAGAATTGGCCAATGTGACTGGCTCGTCGGCATCGGCTGCACCCACCGCCGAGACGGAGAAAAAAGACTCTTCCGCTTCGGGATGGCGATGGCTGATATCTTATCCCATGAAGAGTATCAAAAGGACGTTGTTTGTCATCATCAAATATTACGGTCACCTATCGGATAGATTGTTCAATGATGTATCAGTGATCCTCAGTAGAAAAAGGGATTACCGACTTGCCAACCATGCAATATGAGCAAGCGTCCATACGAGGAGTCATTGTTCCACGGTGGCTCACCACCAGAGTCTATCGATAACAGTCACAATGGCCTGTTGCCCATTAATGATCTCCTGTCACCAGAACCACCCCAGTCTATAAGCGGGTCCGTCAAGAAGCCTAGGAACTTTATCGCCACTGTAGTAAGTTTTTGCCTTGTAATACCGTCAGGTCCATCGTTGACCCGAGTATAGGCATGTGAGACTTGCCGCCTCAAAAAGACCCGGTGCGATGAATCGCGCCCAAAATGTGGACTGTGCAAGTCGCTCGGCCTGGAATGCGTGTACAATGAGCGCAAGTCGTCCAAGTAAGTCTCCAGGGATGATAGCGCCTGTCTGGGGCTTCTTGTCGCTGACATTCTTTCCAGACGAGATCAGTCGCTTAGTCTGATCATGAGCACCCTCCATCGCCTGGAGACAAAGCTCGAGCACATCTCTTCGGCAGTTCGTGACGACATGCAGCCTCTCCATCAACAGATGCTCCATGCACTTGAGGGCTTGAGAGATGCTGCTACCCCGAGACAGAGTGGCCGCGCCAGTGACAAGCATGCGTCCTCGTCAAACTCGCAGTCACAGCATCTCACCCCCGAAATGGGGGAGCCGGATGACTTTGTGTTTGATGAGCGGCCCAATACAACCGACTCCAATGGCCATGTCTCGATCTCTTTCAGTCAACATGGCGTGATCCTCTGGCCTGGAGCTCGAGAGATCTTGCCCCGGAGACTTCTCGATGCCCATGAACGACTGGGGAGGAACTATGTGATTGACCTGGAGATGAAGCGTCCCCATCTGCCTATGTATACATATCCGTATCCCCCGCAGGCCGGAGAGGACTGGCTGGAAGCACTGCCCCTTGCTATGATCAAGGGTCTTTCGGACGCATTCTTCGCTACTTTCAATCCGTTCACACCGATCATGGACAAGACCTTCTATTTCGCTTTCACTCTTGGTGCGGCGATTGAAAGCGGGTTCGGCTACACCATTGAAACCTGCCTGGTTCTTAATGTGATGGCCTTGGGGTGTCTGGCTGTGCTGAGCCATCAGGAAGGAAACTATCCTCTGCCAGGCACTCGAAGCAGTCGCTTTGAACCGCCGGAGTGGATGGGGGTCATCCACGAGGAGCCGCCAGGCTTACGGTTCTTCAATGAAGCCCGGAGACGGATTGGCTTCCTGATGTGTGACAATGACATTCAGAGCTGTCAATTTTACCTCTTGTCTTCGTAAGAGTTTCGTTTCTTCCCGAGATGAGCGCCTGCTGACCTGATATCGAAGCGTATACTACAGCCAGATCCTTCGTCCCATGGATTCTTGGGCTATGATTCACCGCGCTGCTACGTGTTGTTTGTCAATGCTAACAAAGTAAGTCCTTGACTTTCCTTCCGGGCATGCAATGCTTTCAGCCACTAACAATCGAAGCCATGATGTCAATTTCGACGAGTGGGAAGGAGACATGAAATCGCGGGTGTACTGGAACACTCTCATGAACGAAACCATCCTTGTACAGGAGTTGCATCTTCCACCCAGTGGCCTTTCACGTCTCGAGGAACTCGTCCCTATCCCTAAATTTATTGGCTTCGAATCTGTCGACTTCGTGCCAGCTCGCTTCTCTTCCTCTTCGGAAGAAATCGACGAATCCTTCTTCCAGTACCATTTCCTCGCGCAGGTCGCCCACCGTATCATCCTCACCCGCATCCGCCATTCACTGTACTTCTACTGTGAGTCTTCGCCTCTGGCCCCGTCCCTCCTGCGCTGCTTAAGACCTCTAACATGATCCTCAGCCGATTCCGGAACCTTCCCCCTCCCGGCCGTCAACGCCGAACTTCGCCACCAACTCGAGCAATGGCGCATCAATCTCCCCCCCGCGCTGCAATTCTCCGACCCTCAACCCAGTACCCCGGTGGACCCAAACCCTTCCCCGGCCCCGGTCTCCCCTCTCCCCATCGATCCGAACCGGCCCCTCTCTCCCGCCATAGCAGTCACAGAGGCAATGCTGCGCGGTCGCTACATGATCGCCAATTTCCACATCGGCCGGCCGTACCTGTACAAAGCGCTCCGGATCCCGCAACGCGTAACGGACCACGATCTTGAGCAAATGCGCAACGGCCTCCGCCACGCAATGGACTGGCCCCCTGTTGGCGGCATCTTCCGCAAAATGAAAAGCTGCATCCCGATCAAGTTCGCTTTCTGCTCCCAGTAAGCTTACCCTCCTGCCTCGTCTTGTCATGAACCGCACCGCACTGCATATACTGACACACCGTCAACAGATTCTTCGGTCAAGTCCTTCTCTTCTACTGTATCTCCCACCATCCCGATCCTCGCCTCCGCAAGACCCTTCCCGTCGGCTGGGAACGGTGGACCGACGAGATGCTGCGGTTCCTGGAGGACTGCGCGCCGTTTAGTCCCGCCGTCTCGAAGGATCTGGAACTCTTGCAATTGTTACGATGAGTACTTTTGTATGCATATCCATGTATATGGCTTCTGTCACGATTGATGCTTTGGGGGGCGGAATCTCTGTCCTGTCTTACCTTGTTTTGTTTCGCTTTGTTTGAGATATCCTAACGCTTGTCCGATAGTTCTGCCCTAGACTAATTGGACCTTGATGGTCGTTCTTGTCTATGAGTGTGGCAGATATATTCTTTGTTTCGCGACGGCGAGCACGTAACAGGCTACGTAATGCATCATCTTCGATCCATTTACGAATTATAGATACACTGTCTCAAATACAGATGGATCCTTCTCTTAACTATACATCGTGCTGAACGCTCAATCCAAGAGTATGCAACCAAAGGGGAATCAATCGGCATGCGCTGAGGAAGAAAATACAAGAAAAGAAAACAACAGGTCAGAGGCCTCGAATCTCAGGTAGTCTCGAGATAAATCACAAAGCCCATTCATCAATGTCGGCATCAGTGGTGAATGGCTTGTCAATTTGTTTGATTGCATGGTCACCGCAGAGGATACTGTAGACGAATTAGTCGGGTTTTGTTGCATTTGGTGAGAAGAAACTTACCACGCCTCAGCAACCAGTCCGTCTAATTCCTTCACGATCTCCTCCCTTCGAGAAGATGATATATCGGCTTTATTCAGCTGCGCTTGCAGATCACGAATGTACTTCTTCTTCCCGCCTGCGCCTTCGAGTACCTCCTTGCCCAAACAGTCGCTGTGGAATGCATGTTGGCACGGAAAGACAAAGAACTGGCGGCTAAGCAGCGGTAAAGAGCAAGTCCAGCATTTCTCCCCCGGCTCCACAATGGCATAACGCATATCCAACGCCGCAATCTCCGATCGGATCTGTCGTGCGGTCTGAGCCGAATTGTCCATCTCCTGGCGCAATGCATCAATGTGCCGCGAGTAGTCCTCCAGAGCACTGCAAATCTCGTCTTTGAAGTCGTCAATGACGACAAAGTCGGGAAAGAACGGAATCAGATCCTCAATGCGCAACAGCTCGCATCGGCGCAGAAACTCGATGGCGTCTTTAATTCCGGTGCCTGGCTGCCGAATCTTCTTCTCCGCTACAAGCAGCCACAATTTCTTGCGGAGCTTGTCATTACCTTCCGGTCTGTCCGCAACGATCGCGGCTAGTTCAATATCTTCATGCTGCAGAGCCAGCTCAACGGCCTGAAGATACTGCCCCATCGCACTATATATATGGATGCATGATTGAACACGTTCGTGTTGAATGCATAACCGCAGCGCAAAGTCGGCATCGTAGGGAGGGGGCGAAGACGGCTGAGATTGAAGGTATGTGAGAAGGCCCGCTTCCGAAGGTGAAGGGCTCGAGGCGTGGATTGAGATTAGTGTGTTATGTACTGCAGCCGATGGCTTCGGGTGATTGACAACGATAAAGTTGAGGTATCGCACGGCCTGATTCTGGCTGAGAGGGACATTCACAGTCTTATTATAATTGAGAAGCGCAGGGATAAGTCTCTCGGGCTCCAGGTTTGTCTGCCGCATGAGGATATCCACTAACCCGGTCGCAGCATGGGTCATCAGCACGCTGCTATACTTGTAGAAGACATCGGGATCCGTCTGTTTTTGTAGGACATTGAGTGCTTCTGACCACTTTTCTCGTTGTATCCAATACGACAGGACGTAATTGTAGTCATTAGTCGCCGTCGCAAAAAAGAGCAGCTCCTCTTCTCGGCCATGGCTACTGATAATGTCGTACGCAGTCTTCTTGTCCAAGTCGGTTTTGTACTTGTTCACAAACTCCTGGAACTCGGTCCGAACATTGCTCAGCTCGTCTTTGATATCCTCAGTGCTGGCTCCCTCCGCTAACTCAGCCTTGGTGGCTATGTTATCATCCAGAGCGTTCAACTTCGACATGAAAACCTCGACCAGCCAGCTCGCAACCATAATTCTTTGCATGGTAGATGACTTCTTGTATGTCGATAACTGGGTAAGGAGATACTTCCGCAAAGCGTCATGCTCGTTACGATTGATCAGAGTCAGACAGACCTCCTCAAACCCCTTGCTACTTTTGCCCCAAACCTTGGCCGCTTCTAGGTAACGGCCCTTGCTGGCTAGAAAATCGCCAGAAGCAGTAGCCACAGCATCCTTCTGGGCGCTACCGCGGGCATATTCAAGTGCCTGGTCAAACATCTGCTTCTGCAGGAAAACTTTCCACACGTCCCGGTCCTCGTCCTCAGCAACAATTTCGAAGATTTCCTGGCTGGTAAACAGCCAATATGTGTGCTGCATAGAGTCTGTCAGAAGCCCTAACGTACTCTGTCCAGGCTCGAGCACTGCTTGCTCATAGATGATCTCATCGCTCATGCGGTTGACGGCAACGATTTTCCCTTCGACAAGGGCTAGAATGTGCCACTGTGACAGTGTCATAGCGGTGATAGGATCTTGGATTAGCTTCCTGCCTCCCCGAGCTGACTCCGTCGGGGGGAACATGGAACGCGGTAGCATCCTGGCGCCTTCAAAGGGCCCTTTCGCTCTTCCTGACGCATATGGCAATTGACCATGGTAGATGCCCTGCGAACTGAGCCAGGCGAACTCTTTCTCAGCGTAACTATCCACATTATGCCCATCAACCGCGGTGGCGGAGATCACCAGCGTCGACGGCGCGGCGCCAGATGGTTTCTGAATCTCGTGCACTACTGGTGCCTCCCGTTGAAAGAGCTCGGCATATATACCTTGGCTCCCTTGCCTCCCTGCCCGCCCCTGAAAATATAGTAGCTTGCCATGTGTCGCGATCAGCACTCGTCTCTGCTCGGGCGTCGTAGGCACCAGTTCCGTCCAAATTCCAGTCACAGGTGACCCCTCCGAAACTTTGTAGATTGAGTGGGCGTACTTTTCCTCGCGCCGATAGAACTCCGTGGACGGCTCGATGTAGGTCTCCCAAATCTGACCATCTGTAGCGCCTAAGAGGATCTCCCTTGTCGAAGCCGTTGGTAGTGACGGGTTCCAGGCAACACTCTCGATCGAAACGCCCTTTAAACGCGACAGCGACTTGGGATGCCTAGACTGAGTATGAAGGTAGTAGTTCTCGCCAAGGGTCGTAGTAATGATCAAATGTGATGCAGTTGGGTCAAGAAACATTCGACGAATCACTCCGATTTCCGAGGATTTCTTTGGAAGGTCAATATCTAGTTCAAAACGCCTTAGCATTGCCACGAGGATAGCGGGACGGAGCGCATGAGCTTGAGGGGGAATCAGTTACCGTCAATGTCTTCAGGAGTATCTAGATCTATACGAAGGATGCGATTCGTCGACAAGGCCAGAATGAGCACATTGTTAGCAACTTGTGCGGCGACGAAATCCGCAGCTAATGGGAACTGCAGTTGAACACGGCGGACATCAAACATGGAGAGTGAGGCATCCGGAGCTTCGGCCAAGTTGCTGGGAGCAACATAACCGCTGGATGCATTCAGCGCCATGATGGGCCGTTTATGAAGACAGAAGGGAGACTTTTTAGATCATAGCGAGGCTTCGATGAGCCTGGCAGGTAAGGAGGAGCACTGGTTGACTGTTGTCGATCCTTGATCATCTAGGTATGAATGAATGATCACCCAGATGGGGGGAGCTTGACGAAGGCGGAGTGCCCGATGCCCCAGGCAGAAACTTATATATATGCTTTAGGGTTCTGTACAAGAAAAGTCCATGGACTATAGTCATTTATCTTACGGGAGGCTTTTGTTTCGAATATCTCTTAGTGGATCTCCTCTTCATCTATCTCAATTAGTGTGACATGTACTCTATGGACATACAGGAAGATAAAACGAAACAGCGAATGCGCTCTCGCTAAGACAGGCATCGTAAATCATAGCTGGGTATCAAGTGCCTTTCCCTCTAGGCTTCCAAGCAAAACTAGTAGCAAAGAGTAGATGCGATGAATGAAAAAGCGTCACATAACTATGCACTCCCGTTCCAGCTTTCTTCCAAATCTTTCTCGCGACCGATCCTTCGCTTTGCCTTTAGAACGCTCGCGATCCTTGGAACGTCTGGGACTCTTTTCTTTGCTTTCCCTACTGATTCCCGCAGACATCTCTCCAGTTTGACCGGCCAGGTCATTGTCCACAGCAAAATCGTCGACGTCATCTTCCGCAGAGCCGTCACTGGTGAACTTTTCTTTGCTGCGGCGTGACGTGAAGCGAGAGAATGTTGCACTAATTCTGTTTTCGCTAGTTTGACTCCCGGCACGACTGGTAGGTTTACTTCTGGTTGATCGGGACTCGCGTCTGGAGTACGAAAAGGCATTTTTGTCTTCTAAGTCCTTTGGCAGGATCCGTGGCGACTTTGAAGAGACAGGATGCACTTGGAGATTATTGGTTGAATCGCCGTGATTCGAAAAGGCTGCGCTTTGTTGCCTTCCATTCACATCCGTCAGTCCAATTGCAGGGTCCTCTGGCGTGGTAATTTCGACACTTGGCCGGCCAGAAACATATCCTGATGGAAGTTCAAAATCAGTATTATCTGTCGACAATGTCTGGAGCTTCCGCACAATCCCCGCGGCATCTAGTTCACCGATATCTTCCGATGTATCGGAGGAAGGAACTTTGCTGGCCAGATTTGCTTCTGCGGCATCCTCATTTATGGGCAGTATCTGATAGAACAGGAGATATGGAGACTCGAGTTTCAGCGCTTGCTCAATGTCGACGAGGGTAACGCGTTCCTCTGCCAGGTCATCGAAGCGCATCCAGTATCTAGGAGCGTCTGAGGCCGGCTCCGATCCGTGAGAGCTGGCAGGAAGTGCGCCAGCACTAGTGCCTCTGACAATAGCAATGTAATGCCCTGAGTCAACCGAGTTACCTCGATGGCAAACCAACGCTTGCAAAGACAGCTTGAAGTTTCCATAAATGGGACCGTCTGCGTCCATATTGTCGTCTTGAATGAAGTGGGGAAGCCCAATTTCCGTGGGTATATCGACGTATGTGCTCAGTCTGACAGCTTTCCCATTCGGAAGCATGGAATAACGTTTTAAGCACATGCCTAGTATTGGTCTCTTCGACGAAAAATGCGCCGCGACCTGGGCATCGCTCGTTGGGGTGTTATCTGTGTACCAAGCTATGGGAGTTCGAATCAGAATCCCTTCTTTTCTCTCACGCTGGGGATCGAATGCACCTACGTATCAGACTGAAGAATTGCCACGCGGGCATCATAACTTCCTTCCTGTAAGATCCTCTTCCGGAGTGACTCTTCGTGGTAGAGCCACCGTCAGCGTTTGCTCCGTCTTCTGAGTCAGGTACGAATCGTTCTTGAACGATGCTGGTCCGCCGCATGTGGGCGCCTCGAGGCGTGCTTGAGCCACTTACTTCTGACTGTGTTATTATGGGCGTTGATGGCGCTGAGTCGTCGGGTCGCAGTGGAGTCAACTGAGTTGGAGAAGTCGCAGGAGACGGGGTGACCTCAACAGTCTCGATATGTGATGTAAAGCCTTTGGACGTGGAATCGAAGGATCTGGTCGAGCCGACAGTATTGCGTCGCTCAAGGTGGCGCTTGACCTCAATCCTATTGTTGAAATACGATTCCAGACAATCCTCCAGTGTCACCGTCTTCCCATCGACAGGCTCAGGAATCGCGACCTCCAGCAATCTCTCATTGACAAATTTGTGGTCGCTGCTCACATCCTCCTTTCCAGTGTGATAGATATCCATCTTTAGCGTGAGTAGAGGCAGCTCTAACTTTTCTGTGATGAACGTGAAGGCTTCTGAAGTATCTTGCTGGCGAAGCTGAGCTGCATCTTCCCAGCCACATTCAGCGAGCGCATCCTGCAAATGCTTGGTCTTTTGCCCAATAATATCAGTATTTCCAATTTAACAAAAGGCAACTGAGGTGGAAACGTACAATGTCTGTTGTTATGAGCTTTCCTGAGCGCAGCATGTTGACCCAGAGTCTTAGCAATATTGAGAGCTTGCGACGAGGTTCGTCGTTAAACGACTTGTATAGGATCGCTTCGAAGCAATCTAGACGAGCAAACATCGCGAACAGCAATGCGTCCAGGTAGCAGGTAACACCCTGTCGGTTGACTGCTCCAAGAAGCTTTGTACTCGGAGTGTACGCTCTGATTATACCCTCAATCGAATCCTCCAAGATGAGGAGCAGATCAAACGCTTTCTCTATGTCTCCGTGAGCGGACTGGAGCGCATACTCAAAGTGCTCTTCCTTCAAGCCAGTATAGCCAAGTTGTGCGATGCGGCGCCCCAGTATCTTCAGCTATGGAAGTTGTGAATACCTCACACAGGGCATAGCCAGGGCAACTTCCTCCTTACCTTTTTCTGCTCTTCTTGGTCTGGCTCTGGCCTGCGATCGGATGCGAAAAATCCGCTGAAAAGAGGACGGGATAGTATCGTCGAGGCCTTGAAAGATAAGCACATTAACATCCATAGATCCTGGTGAAAGCTGCTCCCTCATACCGTACCTCATCCTTGTTCTGCTTTGCATTCCTGTTATTTCGCTCGCGACGGGTAAGGAATCGATGAATGCCACTCATATCTTAAGGCTTAGGGCGAATGCCACTAAGCGAATTCGAAGGGAGGCAATAAGCGTCTTCAAGTGATAAGGAGACAGGTGCGTTGTCCAAGGTACTGAGTAGGATGCGACATGAGGAAGGACCGGGGTATGTATAGTGACAACAGACGTGAGCTCAGGCTCCAATATTTTTGTCAAGTGCAAGAATGATTTCTTTAGTTGAGTCAGTGAGCATATCAGGTGTTTAGCTCTTCTGACAAGACTTCTGCGGCACTAGAAGTAGTAATGTTGATTGTTCATGGGTCACACAGAAGATAAAATCGAGATGATCTAGAAATGACATATGATAAATCGTAAGATGCTAAATATGCAACAAGGAACAAGCCATGAGAAGGATTCCGGAACGGAAGTAGTGGATACCTCTAGAAATGTATATCTAGCTTGCTATCTTTTTGGCGGGGTGATGAAGCTGATCACATGCGGAGCCTCTTGTTATGCGGAGTGAACTTTGCTGCCTTGCATGGATGCCAGATCGTCCAGGCACATGTTTCCCTGCCCCTGCACGTGACCATCTGAGACTCCGGCCCGGCAGTAATTTTTGGAAATCCGATATTGATCGACTGAATCAACAACCCCGTCTTCAAACCCCAATGGCTGCCAGCGAGTCGTCCAGGTTCCTGGCAAGGTCCCTGCCAAGGGCCTTTGCACCATCCTCTCGTCTTCAGAGCGTTTGTTGGCGGCGCAATGCCTCGGATCAGGCGTCGTCGAAGTCCCCAATTAGTGACCTCGAGTCATCAAGCTCTCTAAGTGCCAGCGTACCGGAAGACATTGTGAAGTCGTTTGATCCAGTAGCGAGGTCAAGGGCGCGCAAAACACAGTTGCCTCGGAGTCGGTAAGCATTACCGCCCTTTTCCATTGCCAGTTCAAACTGCGTTCGCTTCAAGAGGCCATTCATACTAAAGCCAGATTGTAGTTATCAGTTCCGTTCACCTAAATACGACCGTGGCCCTCTACACCCTCACAGACCTCCTCCACCATCAGATCCCTCTTCTCGACTCTTTGTTCCTGGCCCCTTTTCACTTCCCAGAGTAACACAGACATGGGAGTCGACCATCGCTCCAGACATTCTCACCCTCTGCTACGTCCACACCCCCCCCGGGTTCAAGCCCCCACCAAAAGGTTCTCGTCTCCGTGACTGGGACGACAGCTCTCCTTACCACAAAAACCGACCGCTACGTGGGCCTCGTGGCGGCGACGTCCTACGACTGCTCCGTAAACCCATCACTTTCAACAACATCCCCCAGCTCGAGCGCATCACCATCCACAGCTACGTCAAGCAGGCTGCTACGGAGAACTCGTCCTGGCTCCATGTCGCCGGTATGGCCGTTCAGGCTATTTCCAATGTCCGCGTTCAGACATTTAAATCAAAGTCCAGCGTTGCCACGTGGGGTATTGCGCCTGGCAGAGACACCGTCGCGGTGAAGGCAGAACTGCGCGGTGAGGATATGCTCCACTTCTTCGGAAAGTTAGTCGATGTTGTTCTGCCTAGAATCAAGGACTGGGAAGGTGTCAAGGGCACCAGCGGTGATAGCAGCGGAAACATCACGTTCGGCCTTGAGCCCGAGAACGTGGCTCTCTTCCCTGAAATCGAGGTCAACTACGACATGTAAGTGGAAATGTGGTCTTTCGACCGATTTTGCAGTAACTCTCAGGCTAACGCCTTTTTCCGAATAGGTACCCACCAAAGATGATCCCCGGTGCTCACATCACGATCCATACAACTGCCAGAACCGACAAGGACGCCCGTCTTCTCCTCAGCGCCATGGGTATTCCCTTCTATGGAAAGCTTGTTGACTAGACGGCAAGTTTTACCACCTGTTTATGTGTTTTGTTGCCTGGACAAACATGCCAGACTTGAAGAACCAGGTGCTTCTGAGCGATATGCTAGCTCATCTATGTATTTTATGTTGACTGGCAATCAAGTTGTATTATAGAAATCATGTGACATTTCTACGTTTTCCTGGCGAGCTGAAAAAGTATACTTCTGTGCATTTATTCTTCTCACGGCTGCGCCATGTGGCAGAGACTGCTCCTTCTCGTCAAAACGTAAGTGCCTTGATTAGGCGCAACAGATGGTCCAAGCTTCTTCTGGGCAACATGAAAGCATGAATATTAGATGTCATATTTTGATCCTATTCAACAACCGCGATGCCCGCTTATGTATGGCACACGAAAAGCAACAAATGCAATCAATAAAGTATCAGAATCCTACCGGATATTAAAACGCCTTTGAGGTGATAGCCTTGCATTTAGGAAGTGGTAAGAAGAAAGCGAACAATAAGACGGGAAGGCTCTGGGGTATTCAAGTTCATAAAAGGGAAGATGCAGAGTTCGATGTGCCTTCCGAATGAAAAGGAAATTGACTTCGGGGAAACACCTAATATTTGTGGTAGACAGCATGAGCAGCGCGCTATTATCCAAGGAGCGGCAATGGGCTAGTAGATCATTACTGAAATTCAGGTGCATCTCACGCCAGCGGTGCAGACAAGAACGGGCTCTGCAGTAGCTCGTCCGCGGAGGGTCTTTTCTCATAATCGACTTGAAAGGTCATGTCCAAGAAGGCCATGGCTTCTTTGCTCGCGTGCTCGGGAGCCGGGGGTCTCGCACTGTTGCTACCAATGGCGAAAATAGCTTGCAACTGACTGCAGTCAGGGAAAGGATGGGCCCCAATAAACATCTCCACGACAAGGCAGCCCAAACTCCAGATGTCCGCCTTTTTCGTGTGGGCTGTCTGTCGCACGACTTCCGGTGCCATCCAGTACACGCTTCCCTGCAGAGAAGGTCGATGAAGATGGCCACCTCCGCTGCCGCTGGCTCGGGCACCGAGAACAGTGGAGGCTTCAACACGTTTGGAAATGCCAAAATCGGAAATTTTGATACCGCCCTTGTTATCCACCAGAATGTTGGCACCCTTGATATCACGGTGGATGATGTCTCGACTATGGAGGTAGGAAAGACCTTCCAAAATTTGACGTACGAAATTCTTGATCAGCGGCTCTTGGAAGGTGTTGTACTGTTTGAGCATCGTGGCGATTGAACCGCCCGGGACGTACTCCAGGAAAATATTCAGGTATTGATCGTCCGCAGAGGTGCCCAAATACTGGACGATATTTGGATGGTGAAGCCCTTGCAACAGCTCAATCTCATGTTTGAGTGCTGTCACCATGCTGTTCTTGCGCTTGTCAAACTCAGTACCCTTCGTCGCCGAAGGTATTTCCACTTGTTTGACAGCCATGAGCTCTCCAGTGATCGCATGAAGAGCAAGGAAGACACTACCAAACGATCCCTCGCCAATCAAAGATCCCTTCATCCAGTTCTTGGGAGCAAAATTATTGCCTGAAAGGAACTCATTAAGGCCATCGTCCTCCTCTTCCCCATCTTCTGCCACCAAGACACTCAGCCTCTCATTGAAAGATCCGCCGTCTGTCGCTGCAACGCTCGCGTTCTCATCAAGAAGGCTTTGGCGAGAGTTACTCGGATCATCTGATCCACTATCGAAGGAAACATATGATTTGCGATTCGGCTCAATGGGAGACTCCTCTTGAAGAGGCTGAAGAGAGCTTGAGGCAATGGAATCCCTATATGATGTTTGCGGGAGATTGAATCTGGAAACCGAGAGCGGCCTCGAGGCTCGAGTAGGGTGTGCCCCAGGATTGAGCCAGGTGTCAGCGATGCTCGGAATCGGGGGCGCATCCCTCAAGCTCGATGCATAGCTTGTATTGCTGAGGACGCTCAGGCGACTTGCTGCTCGGCTGAGGCGTTGCGATCTCCGAATCGACATGCGCATGGTCTTTTCAATATCCTCACGCTGATGACCGGGGAAATATGATGTAAGCTCATGAATAATCATTTCGCTAGGTGGGCGAGCCCCGAAGAAAGATCGCAACTTGGCCACAGAGGGACGTTCAGTGCTCATTTGGAGAGACTGGTCATGCTCATTATGACCCTGAGGATGCCGGGCAGATACAGGCGACAAAGGTTGTTTGATGTGATGCCAGGGTTCACCTGTGAGTTGCTGTATTTTAATCTGGTTGCGCACATTTGAACTGCTCAGAGCATTCATGTGTGTCATTTGGCTTTCATCCAACGCAAGCTGGGAAGCACGACGGAGCTCATCAGTATCTGGTTCACCAGCGTGAATTTTCCGCAGAATGAGACGTCCGCGCTCGGACCTACTTGATCCTTCGCAAATCTCCATGAGTTCGTGATCCGCAAGTCGCCTACAGTTCGAAGGATCTGGTTCCAAGCCGTCGAGCACGTAGAAGCAATAGTTGCGGTACTGGTGCTCGGGTAGCTGCAGCTTCTTGAGGACACACAGTATAATCTCATCAGCGGTCTTGCAATGCTTGATATCCAGTACCTTGGTCTGTCCGCCGGTATATATGACCCTGATAACAGGCGAATTTGCGGGCAAAGCACCCATTGTCAGACCATCAATGCTGGGGTTCTGCCTCAGATGTAAGCCACCTTTGTGACCATGGCCACCGTCGCTAGGTGTTCCTGGGTTTCGGCCAGAATTCGAGCCGCCGGAGGAAGGATGAGCAAAATAACCCTCTTTCCGACCACTTTCCATCGGGCTGTTCGCAGCATACCGCTGATTTCTCAATGGGGACCCTGGGCGTGACGATGATTTTCCCGTGGAGTAACCATTGTCGACTAAGCGAGACATACGGCGATTGCTCGAACTTCGTTGGCGGAGGTTGGTAAGCCGAGAGGAGTCTGAAGTTGGAGCGTACGTAGGGGCCTCAAGTGCAGCGAGTTGATTCTTCATGTGGGTAAGCTGAGGTTCCAACTGTGACAGAACTTCACTTACCATGTTCGTTTGTCTTAGATTGTTGACACTCCTGTTTCTGAGCTTCTTGATGGCTACAAAAATCCGCACTCGATCGCCGACCTTCTTGATACCCATTTCCTGAAGAATTTTCTGGTCACATTCAATAAGATTGTCTCCGTTGAAATTGT